CTGTCTCTCAGCCCTCAGTCTACAAGGCCTTTGGCTTCCAAATAGTCTTAGGAAAGTCCCTCACATCAAGTGTCACCAGCCTGCTCCAGCCTCAAGGCAGCTTCACTGTCACCAACAGGGAAGAATTGGGATCTCTGAAAACAGCTGTCAATTTGCATTGCCAGAACTGTCTAGGTAAGAGAGGGCTACAAAATATGTGAATTCTAAAGGAGACTATTTTCTGAAGAATACAGAGGCTTTGGTCCACCCAGTCAGTTGCAAGCCAAGTTTTAGGGTCGACACATTTCAGTTACATGTCAGAAAACTGTACACTAAAGGAAAATAATCACAAATTCATGAAACTTGTGAGACAGAATGTTTGAAAGGGCTATTTTCTAAAGGGTGAGCTGACTGTTCACAGATGAGAAATGAGCAGAGAAACTACTGAAGACGTTTTGGAGATGGCAATGAAATTTTAGATCCAGGGTTCCCTCGTGCATTTCAAACCTCCCCTGGCTCTGGATCTGGGCCCTTCTTGGGAAGGAAAGGAGGGAGCAATGGGGGAGGGGGATCCAGCCGCCAAGCCACAGGGTACAGGGAGAGCAGGCAGGCAGCAACAAGCCTTTCATTCACTCATTTATTTATTCATTCAGTCATTCCTTCTCCCCACAGGAAAGGTCCTCAGGGGAACGTACTCATAGGCAAAGGCACAGTGTCTCTTTCTAGTCCTGGGGTTTTTTCAAATAAATTCAGGCCACAAGGAAAGGCCATGATGGAAGCCACTGGCCTTGACACCACTTTCCAAGTCCACAGCCGGGAAGCCCTTTGCCAGAGTCTAAAGTGCCTCTAGCCACACTGTCTGGACCTGGATGCTCCACAGATGTCACTGCTAACTCCCACACCTCTTTCAAGGTTTGAGCCAATATCAGCTTGTGAGAACAAGGCCTATCCTGAGAAACCTATCTAAAATTCCAACATTTCTTTCTCCCAATCTATCTTACCTTGCTCTAACTTTCCTCTTTTCTGTATCACTACCTTCCCACATACTTTATCATTATTTCAAATGGTTATTGTCTCCCTCAACTAGAATGTAATACTCCGAAGAACTGGGATCTTTATTTCCTTCACCAAAAATATCAAGTGCCTAGAACTGTACCTGATAGTAAGTATTCAATATAGATTATCACATAAATTCAAAATTCAGAATTACTTTTACAAATGATTTCATAGCACTGAGATTCAGGCATTTCATATGTCTGGGGCATGACCTTCAGTGCTAACTTTAGTGCTATTGGTGTTTCTAAGATTCCTGGTAACCGGTTTAACTATCTAGGATGTTCATGCTAAGAGTTTCTACAAACTCAAGTATCTACTTACAATGAGAAGCAAACAATCACCGACCAGCTTTTCCCGTCTCCAGGAAACAGCGCCAGGGTTATGAATTGATAGCAAAGCTGGTGGAAAAGCACTTCACAGTTGCAGGGCTGTGGGATTTCTAGGCAACTTAAGTGGGGTGTTGGGGAGGGTTTCAGTTGGGATACTTGGGTTGTTCATTGAGATAGTTGCTCCAGTGCTGAATCAGCAGTGAGATGTAAGGAAAAAAAAATAGGATCATAAGTACAGCACTCTTCCAAGAAGAAAAATAGATAAAACAAAGGATGGTCTCCAAAGCCCCCAATCCGTGTTCCTTATGGGAAGAGAAAAACAGTTAAAAACAATGTGATGGGATATAGCTCAGGTGCTAGAGTTCATGTTTGCCTATGTGAGAGCTTAGATACAATCCCCAGAACCACAAAAATAAGCAAAGGAAAAACCTACAAGAGCTATGTGTATATGTGTAAGATTGCAACAACAACTACTCACAACTTAATACACTTAATAGATTTGGATTAAACATGATAGTTATAATGAAAACTATAGGTCTTGGAAAAAAATCTATTAAGTGAGATACATGCCAAAGTACCCATAAACCTTCATTTCATGATTGCTTAAGGGTTCTGACTAGTGGCTAAATAGTAGTAACCCAGAAAATCCTGAAGATGAAACTATTACCTAAGTATATCTCCAACAACCCTGTTATGGTTGCTAAATAATAAGACCTTTGAATAAAAGCAGATTAACATACATCTCTTAGTTGTCTTTTAATGAATCTTTTTAATGTAGCCACTGGCTGACAAAGACATGAAATCAGTAAATCAATTATTAATAAAATAACTAATTATTTCCAATGAAATCAGTAAATCAATTATTAATAAAGTAACTAATTATTTCCAAAAATGTATAGATGGAATCACAAACAATAAATAGCATATAAAAATAAGTGAATATACCTTTCACTGAGTACCTTATATATTTTCACTTGTATCTTCATCAAAAGCATATTTGTAAGTATATTTATATGATGCTACCTACTAATCAGGATGTTTTTATTCTTCACAAGATTAATTCCTACTTCTTTCTGTATACGGGGCTGCCTTTGAGAATCAAGGCCTTCTTCTCAGTAGAAGTACACAATAATTTATATGACTCTGTTTAATCTGGGAATTTCAAGCATTTGTTAATTTTAACATTTTCTTTTCATAAAGTTTGATGGTTCAAACTATTTCCAAAGTATGGTAATTGTTAGGCAATTGCCACACAATTTGCCTAAGTCATAACTATTGTTATAAAAATAATTTTCTAATATTTTCATCATTAAAAGAAAAACACTAGTCCTTTGGGAGTGAGATACCATTATGTAAAAGTTGAATTTTATGAAATTTATGAATCTTTAACGGTCTTAAAAAATGTTTGCACAATATTGAGACAATTTCTGCAAACATAAAAAAAACTTTTATAATTTGCCCACAATTAAGTCTTAAAACCTCTGATTACAAACTAAATCCTCAAGAGGGATAATTGTCTTTAACACATTTTAATAATTAATATTTTCTTTTAATCAGTCCAACTAGACAGGCAATTATTATTGGGTAAAATTATTACTCAGCTTACATAAATTCTCCTTTATCCTGATACAACTGTTAATGAGAATGGGTGGGGCATGCAAAGACAGTTTTCCACAGACCAAGAGATATCATTTACTTATATTATTTACACATATTTATATAATTCAAATTTATAGTATTTATATTTATTGTTTTCCATTTATTATTGGGAGTAAGAGAAGGTATGGGAACTAACAAAATTTCGACTGAAGCTTTGAATTATGGGAGTTTTAACTTTATTTTAAGCCAACCATCATGAAAAACCTGATTTATATTCTCAAGCACATTCACTTAGGACTATCCAATCATGATATGAATCAGCAAATTTGTTACTCCATTCAACTGCTTTTAAGACTCCCAAAACTAGAGAGTCTAGTTCTTCAGCAATGCTTTTACTAAAAAGAGATGGAAGAAGCTATGGCACGAATGTTTTGGAACTTGAAAAGTTTCAAAACCTGGACAATTACTCATCAGAATTACCTGTTCATTTTGTGAACATGTTCCATGATTATTTCCCATTTTGGATAGCCCATTAAAACCCATTCCAAACAAGCATTCAGTGCTTATTAAGAACCCACTGTGTGCAAAGAGCATTATAGGAAAGGAGCAGAAGGCTCTGCCTCATTTTATTCATGCATAAATACACAGCAGTCGTGATTTATTCTCTCAACTTTGTAGAAACGTGAGCTGCATCCACATGGCTGAATCCGTGGCATTCATTTGGGCTTCCTGGGGCAATCTGCAGGTCCTCTGGATTACAGAGCCCGCTGAGGCATCACGCGCCCCCTTCACCTTCCTGCCCACACAGGACAACTTGCGGACGCTGGACACACCTTCCGCAGGTGGCTAGATCGCCAGAGCGAGAAGAACCCGACCCATCTCCCTTCATAGGGGCTCGGGATAGACGTGTGGAAATGTGTGCAAGGACTTCTGAGAATCAGAGGACTTGTTGAAAGGTCCCTGGGTCCTGGGCGTTAAGGGAAACCCGCCGCCCCGCGGGGCGTTTCCGTCCCCGCTTCGCCTGCGTCCCCGGCGCCGGGGCAATGCGCAGGCCGCCGCGGATCCCTGGGCGCAGCCAGCGCACCTCGGGCCTAGAACCATTTGAAATGCAAATCGCAGAGCCAGGGCGCATTTAAATGCCCGGCTGCCGGCCCCGGGGACTGCTCTACAGCGGGCGCAGCCCTAAGGGCCTTGGGGGCGCCCGGGCCCCTGGGCGTTGGGCGCGGCCCGCGGGCGCACCCGGAACCTCAGCCCGCAGCGCCCCGGCGTCCGCGCCAGGCCAGTGCAGGAGAGGGCGCCCAGAGCCCGGGGGCCCGCGTTTCCCCGGCCCGCTCTGCCGCCACCCGGGAAGAGGTCGAGCGCCGGGTCCTCCGCCAGCCCGTGGCCGCCGGCCCCGGCCCCCTCCCGACGCACCACACCTAGCAACCGGCGCTGACAGGACGCAGTGGCGGCGGCGGTGGGAGGAGGAAGCGGAATGGCTGCCGCGGTGGAGCCACCCCCACCCCCCCTCCCACCTCCCAGCGGCTGCAGCCGCCGCCGAGCCCTGACAGCTCGAGCCGGGGCGGAAGCGGCAGGCGGCGTGCAGCGCCCGCCCCCCGCACCCCCGACACCCTGGGCCGCTCGGACCACCCGGGCCAACTAACTCCGCGCGCCTGCCCAGCGCCTGCCGCCTGCCTGCCCGCCGCGCCCTGCGCCCCCTCCCCCGGCGCCCGGCCCCGCCGCCGCATCCCCGCCGCCCCGCCGCGGCGCACCCCCACTCCCACCACTTCGCAGCCAGCGTGCACGCCCCTCGGAGTCCCCCGGCCCGCCCGCTGCACCTCGGGGCGCCCGCCCCCTCCCCCACCAGAGCCTGCTCCCCGCCCCCCTCCCCCGCACCTAGCGCCTCTGCATCCCGCCACCCCCAGCCCCGGGACTCGCACACACCCTCCCCGCCCTGCCGCCGCCTCCCTCTCTCTCTGCCTCCCGGCCACCCCTGGCCATTCTGGGGCTTGTCGCCTGGGCAAGAGTTTCCGCGCGCCCGGCACCCCCGCCCACCCCCGGGTCATTTACCGATGTGGTTGTCCTCGATGTGCTCGATGAGGTCTGCCAGGGTGGGGAAGTGGAGTCCGCAGCCCCCGAATCGGCAGGTATTGGAGAAGAAGGAGGCGGCGGCGATGCCTGTCATGGTGCTACATCGAGAGCCCCCCTGGTGTCGGCTCTGCGAGCGCCGGGCGGGCGGAGGGAGGGAGGGAGGCCGGGTGGGGTGAGGAGAGGAGGGGCTGGGGGAGGGGGGGAGAGGCGGGGTGAGGGGAGAGGAGAGGACGGGACGGAGGGAGAGGGGGCGAGAGAGATGGAAGGAGAGCGAGGAGCCACCGGGAGGCAGAGGGGAGGCGGCAGCGGCGGCGGCGTCGGGAGCGGCGCGGGGAGGGTGGGGGTGGGGGAGGCCGCCGCAGCTGGGAGGAGGGACCAGGGCGCACGGCTACAGCTGTGCGGTCCCAACCTTCCGCTCCCGGACCGAGGCCTCACCTGGCTGCGCCTGCCACCAACTTTTATCTCCCTAGGCCTGCCCTTCACAGTCTGTCATACATGCAATCTGTTTGGAGCCTCTTCGGGTTATGTATATTACATGCTTAATAGATCCATACCTATTAATTACACATACTTCCCTGCCATAAGCACCCAGGGAGTTACCAGGCCCCTGTCATGGACATTTGTTTGCACTTGGCCACCTGTCTGGGTGTGACACTGACATTCTCAGGAGACCCAGGAAAGGTAATTGTGTGCACCTTATTCTTTAAACCTAAAAAAAAAAAAAAAAAAGTCCATATTCTCTAGAGGTTTGTACTAATTGATTTTAATGAAGCTTCCCCCTAGGCCAGAAGAAATTCTTAGCTTTATTTAAATTTCAAAATAGAGTGCTTGGTTGTCAAGTGCATTTGCCTGGGCTTTACATATGTACCACGTTTGTCCTATTCCTTTCTCCTTTAGGGAAAACAAAACCCAAAATAATTTTATTACCCCCAAATACAGTACACCACACACCCACTACCTGTCTCAGATCTGGTGATTAAACCATCTCTGTTTCTGCCCCCAAAGAAAGGACAGTGTATTGGTTAAGGCTGAAAGTGGAAATTGAGGCAAGGGACATATTTATTCGTCAATGAAAAGTAAAATTTCACGAATCAATCAAGATTATGCCATCCCATAAGCATTTAAACCATAACATTGACCAGTTAAGCCCTCTAAGTTGAATTTTGCAGTTTCTCTGAAAAGCCAGCATTTTGCTAAGAATCAATTACCTTGTCCCCACCCCCACTACACCCCCAGTTGCAGTAACATTTTTACCTGTACTGTGTATGCTTCATCAGTAGCACTTTTCCACCTAAGGAACATTGTGCATTATCAGCAATTTAATATCCAGAAATGCAGTTTATCAATATATGCATCCAGATGTTAGCATTTTTCCTTAGGACAAATTTCATTTACCTTCTGGTGCAGATACTTACAGAAGTAGTATTCCCCCTTCCATTAACTATATGCAACTCTAGTGGTATTTCTAATAATAGAATTGTTAAGGCCTTTCATGTAAGTGTATGTAGTATTTCTGTCACTGCAAAAGTTTTACAATCTGTCTGTCATAGAAATTGAAGCTGAGTTCCCTCACCATGGCATTTTCTCTTCTGGCCCTTCACAACTATCTTCCAGCTCACAAGGTGATGCACTTACTAAGATGAGAGCTGGATTGGGTGGGGCTGGGGCAGTGTGCTGTTCAAGTTCATTTTGGTGCCAAGAATGGTTTCCTGGACCCAAGTGAGAGTGGGGGCAGGGCTCGGGTGGGCCTGATAATGAGCCAGGGACCCTGTTGGCAGGAGATTGGGGCCAAGGCCAGACAAGGGTGTAAAGAACAGGAATTAGAATTCTAGATCTTGAATTAGAATTTTGGCAGCTGTGTAGTACATTCAGCTGCCCAGTTTGGGAAGGCCTTCAGCTGAGAGCAGGCAGAATATCTGGCAGACACAGACTATACTGAGTGGCATGGAATGCAATGCAAAGACGTTAGCCAAAAATGGTGCCAAAGCAGCCTCCCCTAGAGATGAGTGATAGGCCCCCTTCCCACTCTGCAGCATCTGGGGAACATCCAGAGTTTTGAAGAAGTGGCAACTCTGCCTTCTGGAAGAAAAAAACTGTCTATATGACATCTTTATATCCAGAAAGAATATGGAGAAGCATAGAGGTGATTCAGGCAAGGGAGCTTAGAGATGGAAAGTGCTGGAAATGTGTAGGTAAAAGAATGAAGAAAGGGGCCTGAGTTTCACTAATGCCTAGCTCTCCACTACCTCTGATCTCCAGTACTTCCTATCATGAGGTTCTATTCCTAAAATGAAAGTTTAGAAAGCCAAGTTAAACAAATTCACTTAACAAAGTGAATCAAGATTTTGATTTTTAAGACCTGAAATTATTTTCTTGACATTAGGAAAATATAGTTTGTATGGAATCAATTTATTTTTCCGGAAATAACCAATCCTACTAATCTTCATACATGAATGGAGCTTTGCTTATATGGCATTTTGCTCATATTATTATTATTATTAATAGTAGTGTGATCTGTACATTCTATATTGAGCCCTTTTATGAGATATATGATCATGATCTTTTAAATCTGGAAGATATTCATGCCTTTGGAGCCCCTGATTTTGTATATGTGGTAAACTGAGGCCAGAGGCAGCATCAAGTTCTTCCTCACAGTGCATTCAGTAAGACTTTAATATAGACAGTAAAAGGACCAAGATAGAGTAACCACAGGCAAACTTTGAAAAAATTGCTTTATAATGACATGCTTACCTTTGTGTACTTACATTTAAAAATGTTTGTTTCAAAGGTGTCCCTTTAGATAAAGTCAACATCTAGGCTATAAAAATATGTAAAACAAATATTCAACCTGTTACTTCCAAGAGAAAGTGATGACTGATGTACCTCTGTGCTTGGAAAAACATTATGTCTTATTTGGGGAGTAAAAATATCTCAAAGGAAAGGGCAGTGAGGAGTCAGAAAGATATGATAGCCATAGAGTAGAAGCATTCACTGGATTTAAGACCCTTTTCCTTGGAAACCTTGCCTCTCCCTGGAGAATTGCGCCTCCTGCTGTGTAGGCCCAGAGAAAGTATGGATGTCTAGTGGTACCATAAAATGCTACTTAGCATTATAGGTGATTTGGAATCCAAGGTCATTCTCCCCAAATCTAGCATGGCCAGAGCCTGTGCTCATTATGGGGCAGCTGCTGGGAGGTTCCAATTTGGTGGTCTAATGAAGCCACCAAAAGATTCTGCTTTATGTAGCTGTCTATCCTCCACATACGGATTCATCAATTTCAGGATACACTGATGATCAAAACTATGCACTTGGGGGCTGGGGTTGTGGCTCAGTGCTAGAGTGCTTGCCTAGCACCTGTAAGGCACTGGATTCAATCCTCAATACCACATGAAAATAAATAAATAAAGGTATTGGGTCCATCTATAACTAAAAATATTTTTTTTTTGAAAAACAAAAAGACTTCACTTTCTGTGTCCTGTGTGATCATCTGTTAGTGCTACTAGAGGATCTGAATAAACATTGGATTCTATTTTGAATCTAACTCTCTGCACTGCCTTCCACTGTAGATTTCTGTGATTTTGTAGGTTTTTCCCAAGTTTCTCTTAAGGTCTTTTCAGGTTTACTAGCTATAAACATTCTTCTAAGTGGTTTGGGTCCTTCCTTTTACTACTGCCATCGTGTAGAATGAGCAGATCATGAGCCAAGGTCTTCTGCAGATCATGAGCCAAGGTCTTCTCCAGCTCATGAGGTATGTGACCACCTGTAACAACGTATGATTCTCCCCATCTCTTGAAGACCAGGCTGTCACTTCCACTGATAGCAACTTTTGCCTCAGGGATATTTCCTTTAGATCCCACCTTATTCCAAAGAGGACAATGTCTATTCCAGATTTTCCTGTTTAATATCTTGCAATCAAGTCTTCAAGGACTTGGTATTGATTTTATTCCAGCTCAAAAATGAATCGGCTTCACCTGTACTTTGGTGATGAATTCTCATTTTGTCCCCCAGTCTTATTTTGTCTAGGATTAGGGATTGACTTTAGAATGAGTAATGGAAGTTCTTTTGTGGGTCACCACAAGTGAACAGTAAGCATTATCCTTTGGCTCCCTACCTGTTTGCTGCCACCCTGCTGATAACAAACACACACAGATATGCACACACCTGCACGCACACACACAATGATTGCATTCGTTTCTAGTTTCTTGCAGGATTTTTTCAGAATTAAATTCGCAAACTACACAGCCAGTGACCACAATTCTAATTGAATATTCTGGGTATAGTACTCTGCTGCCATGTGACCCACTGCCACCCACATGTTAACTCCAAATCTGACCTGTCAAGCCAGCCCAGCCTGAAGTTTAAAATAAGGTTCATAAGAGCAGCCAAGCAACTGCTATTTCATTCGTTCCTTTAACAAACCTTGGTTGCACCTCTAGGCAAGGCTCCTATTGCACAACTACAGCAGACTTTATTAATGTAGGCAGTTGCAGGAACTGTGAGCCCAGGATTTGTGCAACCCTGCAGTCCTCATCCACTGTGCAAGACACAAGGGCTACAATTTGGATATGGCATGTATGTACAATGAAATGGAGTCAGTAAGGCACCAATGCTATGAAAGCCTGCACAATCTTTTTGCCCAAGGGATGTCCATAGGTGTTCCTGATGCTCACCTAGCAACATAGTGTAGAGGACTTCTATCCTTCCAGACTGCTACCACCTTTTGTGTCTTGGCTTTCTGAGATTTCACCATCTCCCACTATTGCAGTCCACTTCCTCCAGGACTCAGACAAGTGTTAATGGAGGAGGAGCTAGAAGATCAAAATGGGCACAGTGCTCCATGATCTCATCTGCCTTGCTTGAATCCCTTAGGGGTAACTTTGATTTTCAGAATAAGCTTCCTACTCTCCAGTGGCCTTCAAAATCTGATTTGGGTAGAAGTCTCCAAGCCTTTTGGAGAAGCCTTCCAGCCTGTAGTTTCCCCACCTGTTGACAGATCAAGATGGAACAAGCAATTTTAGTTTTCAAAGTGTACTCACTTGCCCATGCACAGACCACC